AATTCTCAGATTTTGTAATAAACTGACCACAGAAACGTGTGCAAGTGTGCTTTTAGAAACGTGTGCTTTTATACAAACAACTCTTCACAAGTGGCAGGGATGATTATCGTTGTACGAAGACGGTCACCACAAGAAACCGTTTCGAAACAAGGCTCTGCCTCGCTGACGTCAAACAGCGGATTCGATCGACTTGATTAGGCAGCTTGAGTGTGTATATACGAAGGCACGACGTCATGCTCGCGACCACACTGATGACAGAGCTGCGACATCCTCTCGTGCAGCTTCATAGCGCGTGCGCCAGGCCACGATATAGACAGTAAGCGCGCGATGCTTCGACCTTTACGATGAACAACTTTGCAAACGCGTCGGATTACAAGTTGGTCAAAGCATCGTGAGGTTGAGAAAGACCTTTAGAATTTCAAGAGTTATCCCCTCACATCGTTAATCCTGGTTTCCTACCTTTTAGTAGCAGCTGCCAATTTATTTAATTCAACATTCTTTGCAAAATTGCAATAGAGTTCGTACCTACATACAGTTCAAGTTGCATGAAAAATATCGGAAATAGCATTACAAAAAGAATTAAAACAGTGAGAAAGGTCTAAGCTAGACACTCAGTAATTTCTCTCTTCCAATAAAAATAAATATGATCGAAATGATACGGATCAGCTTTACCAGAGCGATAACCAGAAGATCGCTAAGACGGTGGTTTCTAAGGGCCATAATGTAACTGAAAGTTTACCCATTTCTTTTTGGTTTTGCAAATTTATAAAAAAAAAAACTAAAATTCTCCAAACAAAATGTCTCAAAAATTTCCTAACAAACTTTGAGAACATTTTTCGAGGCTACTTCAAACATTTTAATGTTGAGCCCTGACACCAATCCTTAGTCGGTGATACCATGATGCAGGCTGTCATTCTGAGACAACCTTTATACATTTCTTAAATATTTGTATGAGACATAAAATACATACATCGCATAAAATTAGATAATTTGTAGCATTCATGTGCATAACTGAATTCAAATAGGTGACTATTAAAACACGTTGACTACGTATTGGTACATATGCGAACCACGAAATGTATTTCTCCAGGAGGTAGTGGTACATAATTCAGGTTGCCTAAAATCGGCCAAATCCGAGAACAAAAAAGGCCAAAAAGGCCGATAATTCAATATATACTAGTTTATTTGTAGGTTCCGCTATAAAAATTCCATTTATTTTCTTTTTGCATTATTTAAAATTTAATTAGAAAGTACACCTATCATAAATTGTAGCCAGCCAACGCAATTGAGAAAAACTAAATCACGGAATTTGTCCGGAAAAAATGACCGTCTGGCAACCCTGCCGCTTAAAAAAGTACAAAAAATGAAATAATAGTACAAGATGAAGCAATCGTAGTCAACGTGTTAAGGTTTCAAGAAACTTGACATTGACCACATCCACAATCGCGGATGAACACTAACCCTTGAAATTGATATTATTTTACGGTGCTGAGACATGAGAAATCGCGGCATCAAGTCCTCAAGCCACGGAACAACGTTTGCACGCGCGTGTTTCACCAAAACGTCTCACGAATTTCTATCTGTGTTAAAGGTTCTCATAGACTATTTTTACGCACATTGAAATTTTTCTTCAGCAGGCACAACAGTGATTATCCAAGTTGAATATCTTTTAGGACATCAGCACGGAATTGAACACTCTCATCCTAATAATATTGTGTTGGTACTACTTGGTAGCCTCAAGTTGTGAGTCGCTTGATGTGAATGTGACAATCTAAAAATCTTATCATTCCGTGTTCATTCGGAATTTTCGCACATCAAACTTCCATTGCTGCTTATCTGACAATTGTTTTTTTTTCTCCATCATTCTTTTCATGTCCAAGAACAAAGAAAATATATGCCTTACACTTTTTTGGAATTTGGACAGAGGGATTGGTAACGTCGATTATTCTTCGAAGAACCGGCATATATAATTGGGTGGCCGGTGGATATACCCGGCATGTGTCTTTATTAAATTTATTTACCTATGAGGCTATGAACGTTATTCAATTAGACGTTTTCAAATCAAAGCAAGCATATATAATTTTTAATGCACGAGAAGGGAAACATTACTGCCAATTAATCACTGACGCTCAGAAAATACAGACAGATAGGCCTAAACGGTAAACGCAGACTTTATGTAATTTTAAGGAAAGAATAATTTTCATGAAGAAACAGACTCACGTAATAATCCTTCTGTAGATGGCGTTTCTTGACGAATACGAATATTGAAAAAAATTACGCACGGATTTAAAAATTGAAACAAAAAATACTTAGAAGAGGCATGGGTTTGTTGGCACAGATAGTGAATTTATAGGTAAGTAGTTCAAAATTGAAAAAAGCGGATCAAACGAAAACGTTATTAAGACTTTCATGACTGTTCAAGTTTATAAATGTACGTAACTATAATTTGCAGAATTATTAAGCATAAGTTTTTAATTTTTCTTCGTCGACAGCAAACGCCAACGGAGTGCACTGAACTTCGATGAGGTCTTAGAATTTTAAAATAGCAGCGGGTGGCTCACGGACAACTCCTTTTATAAACACACTCAACCAAGTCACCATGCGTACTGAACAGCGAATGAGGAATGAGCTACGAGTCCGTTGAGCCGAGCGACGTGCTGACGCTTCGTTTACCGCGGCAAGCCCGGAACGGTTCATAAATTTGCATTCATATAGGACAAGAATGCTATTGTTTGTATTCCATACTATGGAAAAGATTGCTATTGTTTGTAATCTATTCTTTAATAGTTTACTTCACGAAATCAGCCTTCTACATGTGTGCAAAGCAATAGCTAATTTGATCCATAGTTTCTCATTTGCCGTGATGTAATAAGGCTCAATGAGTGCCGGAAAACCAGCATTGAAAGTTGTGTGCAAGAGTCATGACCACGGAGTGATAAATAGACTAGAAAAGTGTCATATTTTGGTGAGATCCAATGCCATTATCCTGATGACACTAAAGTTACATATGAATGCTTTCTGAATTGGAGATCTTCTACTGACTCATGAACAAAATGAAGGTTCTTGATAGTTCGCTAAAAACAACGAATTTGCGACTATCACATTGTTATTTTCAATTGTCGATTTGCTAACACAATTTTGTGCCTACCAATATTAGAATTAGAGCTCCTCCTGGTAAGCATCATAAATCTTTGGGATGCTCAATTGAAAATCGAATTGCAACCTCTTGAAAGAATTTAAAGTTTTGTCGAACGAAGTAATGACTAGTTGACTACATTATTCACTCGATCTCTTTACACTTGATCGAAAACCTTAGTAAAGCGTCCAACCGTGTAGAACTATGAATTGGATTTGCAATTTTTCAGTTCTGATAAAGCTAACATCCGAAAACCTATCATCGAAACACTAATACGTATTACTGATCCTACGGTAGGTTTACTGATGGTTTAGCACGAACACGATTCTGCACTTCGTCTGTCTGTTGATAGCTTTTCGAAATCTGAGATGACTGCGACAATTGAGCCGATGATGAAAAAGCTAATATTTAAATGATGATAATTGATATTAAATGAACGAGTTGTATGCAAATGATGCAAACAATTAAAAATGCTGCCCTTCTCCTGCCGCCCTATGGTAATTGCCGTGATTTGTGATTATTCCTGAAAGTGCTCATGAGCGAGAGGGTTTCGCAGTCGGTCTGTTTTGACTTACGCTACGAGGCTCGGGAGCGCAGCCGTGGGTAACAAAATTGACTCGTAAACAGGCCCTGGGCCTAACGCCAACCATCAGCATGCAATAGCTACATATACCCTCAGATCAATGAGCTGTGGGTAACTCCGGCTAACAGGAAATCCGCTGTGCACAACACAGCCACTGCTTCACAGCGCCGGAGCGCAACAGTGAACAGGCCCTACCGTAACAGGCGGCGCAGGTTAGGTTAGGTTAGTTAAGTTACGTTAGGAGTAGCTGTTGCGGTAGGGCCCGTTGCGCTCCGGCCTGTATGCGCTGCGGCCTGTGATTGAACGGCGCTGTTGTGGTGGGCGCTTTGTGTCAAAAGCCGTGAAGATGCCCGGCTGCGTTACGCTCGGGAAGGTATATGAATCGCACTGTGGACTTAGGCTATGCTGACCTCTAGCCATCCACCCCGAGGCTCTGCCAAATGAAAGTACGATGAACGTCAGTTCTTCTTATTGGAAAACTTTTTAGCGATACTCACAAAGTTTAGAAATTGTAAAACTGTTCACCGTTTACTATCATTCAAAATTGTTGAGGTCTCAGGAGGGGAGGATGCCTGACCAGGCTCGTCGCCTTTCGTTAAGTAGCGCCATCAAAAAAGTGGCCTAGCGCCTCTGTGCCTACATTGAGTTTGCTGGCGACTAAAGTGCAATGACAAAAATAATTAAGTTATAATGTGTAAATAGTGACAATTTCTGGACGTTGCACCGATACGAACTTTTGCCGTGCTAAACTGGTTCCTGATGACTCACACCAGTGCAAAAAGTGCATCGCATTTTGGACGATTAAGACTATTTTTGTTAGGTGAATTCAGTCGTAATGTGAAATAAGCTCTTATTTATAATTTATTCTCAATAAATGTTGGAAAACCATACTATAGACTCAAGAAAAGTACATTCATTAATCATCTGCTTTACTTATATCATTATATTATCTTTATTATATAATTTGTTTCATACCTCATTGATATCCTATGAATAAGAAATATTAAATTGAAGAATGCGATGTAGTTCTGCCATTTTTTACAGTAATCATACATATCAGTTTATGTTTGAGTTAGGCGTGTTTAGCCTGTACCAGTTGTGAACTCGAGATTGGGCAGGATACGCCTTCATATTTTAGTGTCTCTGTGGTCGCCGTAATGCCTGAACCCTCTATCATTCTAAGCTATTATCAGCACATGGACTGTACTCGATTTCTACCGCTTGACATAAATCGATAGTTTAATGATCTTTAATTATCACAGTGAACTAAAGAGTCTTTTTCTCCCGTATAAAGTATTTTTAGGAAAAAATCTTTATAGTCATAAGGTGAATTTTCATCATGATATTTGTTTCTGAAGCACAAGATAATAATACGCACACATAATTTGATGTAATTAAATAGACATTGGTTGTATCAGTTGACGTCGGTGCGTGCGCTGAGAGTGAGTGAACAGAGCGCCTCCTGGTGGTGTGAGCGGCACAACAGCGAGAGTCGCAGGTGCTGAGGCTCGCGCTCTGCTGCGTATATCGCTGGATCACTCAGCGCTCCATGCCCGGCCTTGTAGCCAAGAACGGCAACAGCCTGTAACGATAATTGCTAAGTAAGCAACAGTCTACACGAAAATTGGTGAGTAAGCAACTACCTGTCACGGTAATCAATAAGTAATCACAGACTGTCTCGAAAATTGTTATGTTAACAAAAGCCTGTCACACTTACTAGTAATTTAACAAGAGCCTGTCACTGTAATTTTTACTATTATAATTATTCTACGAAGCAATTTTCGTGGCGCCTGGTTCAAACGAATTTCGAGGGCACCTCACGCATAAGATTAATAGCAAGCGAAAAAAATAAATAGACACACGAAGGGATGGGAACGGATACAATGACTAAGGGCTAGATTCATAGGCTATGTGAAATAGTTCAGTCTTTAGGCGTCGACGAAACACCTACAACGGAGTCAATATTGCGGAAGCCGGCAGACAGTTCCAGGTTCTGGTGGCGGCGATCGGGAACGCTTCTTCACCGACGGTAGATAGACGTGTAGATGGAACGAGGTCCGCTGTTGATGCCGAACGCATTCGTCTCTCAGAAGGCAGTTCCGACATGCGCTGCAGACATTCCGTGAGATAAGGAGGTGCCAGACCGTGAAGGTGTCGGAACGTCAGAAGAGCGACCTTGAACTGTCTGTGCTGCTACATGCGCAGCCAGTTAGGATCGCGAAATATCGGCTTCACATGTGGTCGAAGTTTCGCTTATTTCTCACGAGGCGCGCAGCGGAGTTCATTTCGGATTGCAGTTTATTTAGATCCGTTGTCGGAAGTCTAAAGAATATGGCATGACCATAGTTTAATCAGGTCAAAAAGAGCGCCTCTACGAGGGGCTCGAGGACCGGCCTCGAGAGACAGCGGCTGACGCTACGTACTTGTCGCAGAGCGCTAAAACAAGAGGTTGTGACTTTGGCGATGTGATTGTTCATAGAGTTCTGAGTTCAGTAGAATGCTGAAGTTACGAACCTAAGACGCAGGCGGGACGAACTCGTTGCCTACGCGAACAAGGTGGGCCGGAAGCTGATGCTGGCACCGAGCAGTACGTGGCAAACCAAATCAAGTCAGTTTTTATGCATTGAGCTGGAGCCGGTGGCTCATCCAGTCTGAGACGGCATCCATGCAGACAGACATCTGGTCCTGTAACGCTGCAGCGTCAGCCGGTGCATAGTAGACATAAATTTGAGTGTCGATGGCGAACATATGCGGATTCAAACTTGTGAATCAATTATATGCAAGACGTCGACAGTAGCCTATATAACAGGAAGAGGATCGGGCCGAGAACTGATCTCTGTGGTACGCCGCAAGTGACCAATAATAGCGTAGAAGAAGAGTTCACGCGTCGAATGCATTGGAATCTATGGCTGCGATAAGACTCGAACCACCGCAGCAATTTGCGTGCAGGCCGAATGAAACGTCAAGTCGACGCAAGAAAGTAGCGTTGTCGACGCGTCCGACAAGTCGAGTAAAGCCAGTGCCGCAATTTCGCCGCGGCCTACTGCTCGCAGAATGTCTGAGAGCACCTTCAGCACGGCAGTTTCCGACGAGTTGAGATGACGGTATGTAGACTGGAGGCGAGGCTTGACACCAAACTATTGAAGATGGCTGTACAGCTGTCGGACCACAATGTGTTCCATGAGTTTCGACAAAATCGACAGGTTGGAGATGGATCGATATAATTTGGGATCAGAAGCGTCAATATCTGCTTTTTTTCAATAGAGGCGTAATGTTAGCTGATTTGGAGATCATCGGAACAACACCGTCGGTGAGGAAGCCGTTGAGTAGCTCGACCAGAAAATGTGACAGGCTTGCGACATTCCCCTTAATTAACGATGTTTGCAGCGAATCGCTGACACACTACTATATAGTTAGGCAGCGAGCGCACCGCCGCGACGACATCTTCAGCTGTGATGCAAGCGAATTCTTGGAGCACAAAGACGAACGGGCACGGTGTATATGTTGCTGGCGGAGCATCGGCTGACGACGCTCACACAGCAGAAATTTTGTTTTCGAAAACCGCATGAAATTCCTCTACGCTAACGTCTCCCGAAACATCTGTATGACCTCTTCCCACGAATTTATATAAACTCCTCAAGCATCTCCTGAGGCAATCGCACACGAGCAGCTAACCAATAACTTAGTGTTGTATTAGCCAGCCAGCCTGTATGCGCATCTACTTAAGACTGCTCAGGCAATCGTGTTTAACGTGATAGTGTCGAAATTACTACCTTGTCGATTCCATTAATAATACCTCACCATGTCTAACTTTAAATACGTAAAACTTAAAATTCAACTCTCTTTATTCATCCTTCATGTCTTAATTAGGACATCATCTAGAACCTATCGGGCCTCGGCAATAAATTAAGAATTCAATTAAACTAATCATTAAATCAACGAGTGTCATAGAAACGACATCATTAGCTGTGCTCACGACGAGGTCTGGACAATACACGAACCGCTGTAAAATAATAATTCCTAAATTTAATACTCCTATGAAATAGCAGTATTTACTAAAAAATTTGCACACGAACCGCTGTAGAATAATAATTTCTAAATTTAATACCCCCATGACATAGCAATGTTCACTAAAAATTGTGGTACTGTATCAGTTTATTCGGGCTCCAGGTTTGAGGGGGCAAAGCTGCTGTGATGTACTTGTATATAGCACTGCACCTGAGGCGGGATGAGCTGCTGTGATGTACTTGTATATAGCACTGCACCTGAGGCGGGAGGAGCTGCTGTGATGTACTTGTATATAGCACTGCACCTGAGGCGGGAGGAGCTGCTGTGATGTACTTGTATATAGCACTGCACCTGAGGCGGGAGATGTACTTGTATATAGCACTGCACCTGAGGCGGGATGAGCTGCTGTGATGTACTTGTATATAGCACTGCACCTGAGGCGGGATGAGCTGCTGTGATGTACTTGTATATAGCACTGCACCTGAGGCGGGATGAGCTGCTGTGATGTACTTGTATATAGCACTGCACCTGAGGCGGGATGACGTCGGGATGCTGTGTGGAGAGGTGCGTGAGGACTTGCAATGCACCGTCCACATCGGTGGCGCTCCACTCAAGAAACTGTATATTGTAGAATATTTTAAACATTGAAATGCAGCATTTATAAAAAAACGCCTTGTCACGAATGACGTTCGGATTCTTGGATAGATGACTTCACAATGTAATCTCATGTATTATAATAAGTTTTTAAAGCAATGAAAGTAATTATGCAGTCATTAAGTATTATTCCAACTTAAATGCTGAGTTAATGAAAAAATAATATTTAAATATTAGCGCTCATATTTAGCAAATTATATTCACTCAAATGTTAAGTCTAAAAAGCCTATATATTAAATTTTTAATGTAAGTCAAAAATACTCGAGCAACTGACAGCGAGGTTGGAAGATATGGCTACTTGAGGTGATAATTCAGATAATCCATGGACTGGGCAGCCTTCCTGACTTTCGGAAGTCCATCCTTGCATCAAATTGAATACTTTAGACCAGCAAGGCTGGCTCGGCAGGTCGACGCTGACGCTCACTCGAACTTCGCTAGGAGGCGCGCGTGGTTCGCTCGAGTTGGCGCTTGACGAGCTGTACAAATCCGACACGGAGGCGGGCACGGAGCCTCGTATCATTACGCCGACCGGGTAGTGGTCGCTGATGTCTTGAATCTGTTTTAAAATTATTATCAGAAGAATGGGTGAGAAATACACATTTGCTGACTACACGCTGTTAATTTTCCACTGAGGAGAGTGTGGTATTGTGATGAAAGTGTTCTAATTGTAACATAATGCAAGTCCTATTTTCATTAGAGGGTGCGGAAGTTCAGTTGTTTCTAGGTCTTAAAGTTTTCAGAGAAAATTGAAAATAGTTTGCAATTTTAAAAAGACACAGAAAAAGTGTGGTGGGTCGAATCATGTTCGGGTACTGCCCTGCTGGATCATTCAGCTGAACTTGAAACAATAAAAGCGTGCCGAACAGGAAACTGGTTTCTACTATAATTATGAAAACTGGTTTGAACAGTTTTTCACTCATTTTATGAAATTCCACTACCACGCGTACCGGCAGCAAAACTTTCTGAACGAAATAATACGAAGATAAATTAGCTGGCATGTTGGGAATGGAACAAAGGTGGAAAGGTAATCCCTGCATGATTGTTTGTACAAGAACTATTTTCCAGTTTAACTACGGGAATTTCGAAATTTTACTAAGAACTACGAGCAAGGTCCCTGAAGGGTTACTAGAATTTGAAACAAGAACCAACACCAGGGGCCACGGCTATAAGCTAAAAAAATTGCGCTGCAACTTCTCCACGCGACAAAATTTCTTCTCGCTTCGAATCACCGACATGTGGAACAGCCTCCCCGATATTAGATCTATGAACAAGGCACGAAATGGAAAAGAATCGGCGACAGGCCACATCAGGCCTACACTTCAGAGCCGACATCACTATGTTATGTTATGTTATTATTTAGAAGGCTGTAGTGTTACTCGCCAAGTCAGAGTTTGATTTGATGCCGAGAACTTCATCGAAGTAGTAAGTGGTGGCAGTCTTGTAGTACGCTGCCTTCTGCAGGGTGGAGCCCGCCAGGATGATCCTATGCCAGATATCAGAGAGAAAATCAAGAGCAAATTCAATGGAACAACGGAAAAAGGTTAAAGCATTGCATTATGTCTTCCCATCCAAGAACAAAATTCAGTCCATCGATTTTATCACTCAATGTCCAGACAACAACTGGTATGAAATAATGAGTTTAACATTGACTCTCATCTTCGTGCTTAGCCTCTGTCGTTAAGTTACAACAGAATTCTTGTTAAATTGTAAACAAGTGTGCGTTGCGTTTGTAATCCGTGTATGTAATTGTAACATGACGTTCAAGGCGTATAATATAGAGCTAGAGAGTATTTTTAATGTATTTCTCTAATAAACTCAGAGAAATGAGTGGGTAATGGTCCACTTATTTATCCACTCACGCAGTAATTTTTTATCAACAGTTCGAGCAAAGCGCGAGTGTATTGCAGTTACGCACTTAATGCCTGGCAAAATTGGGTTTTGAAGAACCACTTAAGAACAAGTGGGTGAAAAAGAATTTTTTTATAATGGCTCGTTCATTTATCGTAGAGTGGAAGCAAATTCAAATCAAATATTTCAAAGATCTATGTAGTCATTAGTTGCAATAAAACGCACCCTACTAAGTTCAAAGTAGTTTGGACATACTCTGCATGTTTCGGATTCCATCATCGTTGTCCTTGCTACCACTGGAAGTCTGGAACTATTCAGTATATGTTCAGAAAGCGTGGAAGATACTTGGCTAGCGTGGTGCAGTCGGTATATGTTTATACCTACCCTTCGTATGCAAAGGACGTGGTCTTCGTGGTGGTGCCGGTGAAAGTATACCACCAGCCTGTCGCATGGGCAAAATGTGTTTTTGTGGTGTGGTTCAGTATACTCGTAAATCTATACCCCACCTGTTGCATGGATAAGACGTGGTCTTCGAGGTGGCGTCCGCGTAACTATATACGCACCTGTCATATGGACAAGACGTAGTCTTTGTTGTGGTGTCAGCGTGGTCAGAAATGAGCCAATGGAAGCGTGGGTCTGTGTAGAGTCTCATTTGTTCGTACTCCTCTTGTACGATGTAGTTGCAGCCAGCGTTGAAGTCTCCAAGAATTATCGTATCTGTATACAGAAATTTAGACAATGGCCTCACCATCACAGCTTGCACAATCGGAGTACTTGAAATCTATTTCCCGATTCAACCTTGGATTACCAGCATACGTTTACCACACTTAATCCAAGACCTCTAAAGATTCCTCTATTTTTAAATGCACCTTGGTTGCATCAGATTACCCGTAGGCTCAATTGAACTGAGGACAACCAGCGTGGTTTTGACCCTTCCTATAGTTGATCCATTCTCTTGATCCTAGAGCCAGGTAATTTCACAAAAAAAAAACTAAGCCTGCGAGCTAAGGAAATAAATTGCGCTTAGCTGCTCATGGTCCAAGCCCGCTTACAGTCTTAGCTTCAGAATCAAACTACTTGAATACTACGTTCTGATTCAACCTAGAAAATTCACCTCACTTAGTTCTAGACAACTCTAAGTTTGACTAGACGATTACCAGCACAGTTTAGGAGCCTCAAGCCTGTTTACCAATTGAACTTGATACGACCACCATAGTTTGCCTCAAGTAAAGGAAAGAAATTAAGCTGTAATATTGAAGCCTTTACCAGCACGGTACACCTAAGAAATTTCTTTCGATTATTGATTAGATTATTCCAAATATCAGAATGGCTAATATATAATCATTTGGCACTCCTTTTCATACAATAAATTTTTTGCCTGAGTATATATCCCTCTCGAATTAGGAATATAACAACTATTTTCGAAATATTCTATCAGAGAGTTTGGTTGACGCTCCTCTGTAAATTGTCAATATATTCGACAATCTTAACATTCTGGGAAATATAATTTGGAAATCAATCAACGATTTGATTTCTTATATCCCATCGAATACGCTCTTACACCACTTGTACTCAAGCTGATGGGTTAACTTAATTGCTACGAATGACGGGTTTTTGAAATCAAAATTTATTTCGCTAAATTTTAAAGCAACGTTTTTTTTTTTCACTGTTAACGATGTTCTTACTATCAGGCACTTCCACTAAACGAACAAAAGCGAAATAATTTTTTTGTATGCTGCATAGTGATGTCGGTGCTGAAGAATAGGCCAGATGTGGTCGGTCGCCGATGTTTTTATTATAGTCTCGAACTCGGTAACACATCCAATCATTCGAAAAATTGATAAATTTGTATCGTAAATCCATTCACCTATTGTATAACGAAGAGCCCTCGTCGTAAAAACTCATATCAACCATCATCTCATTGTTAACTTATACCCAAGTAGGTAGGGTACCAATCATGGATTTTTCTGCCAAAGAACACACAACGAGCACCCGGCAGCAGTGATCAAACCTTCAATTCCTAAGTCAAGAATCATCTGATCGTAGACGTCCACAAGGGCGTCCATTTCGACGAGAGCGTCGGAGGGCTTGGCATGCAGGGGAATGACGGCAAACTCGCGCAGGGGCCCCGTGCTGTTGCTGGTGAAGTGCGCGATGAAAGGCTCCACTTGGAACACGTCCGACTGCTCCACGTACTTGTAGCCGTTCACGAACGTCATGCGGCTTGGCATATACACGAACACATATCTGCACATAGGGGTTTGACGTAAAAAAACCGAGCAAATATTACATTAGTTTAACTGCTGCTGACGCACTGAAGACCTGATGAAGTGTAGAGATGAAAATTTCAGCACAATGCTTCGCGATCTTCTATTTTGGCGAGTAAGCGTGCATATAGAGACGTGGACACAGTCGTGGACAAAACTTTTGTCGCAACTGATATTTTTTGTATTGTTCAATTATGAGGTCTAAAACACAATCAGGAAACGTCAAATATTTATTTTTCAACTTGAACATAAAAAAATATTAAAATGAACGAAATCCTACACGAAAAATTCGAAATACGGCAAATTTCCTCAAGGTATCAATATTTGCAGTGCTGACCCCTATTACGAAGAACCTCTTCTATTCTCTTTGATTCAGTTGATTCAGTACTGAATTGTTATAATTGACTCACTGTTCCTTATAAGAATTTCTTCCTATCCTCGGCGACTCAACAGCCACGTAGAGATTCTCGCTGCCCATGTAAGTGTTGATAGCCGTGATCAGCGCAGGTACGGCCGTGCCCGTCGTATCCGTCACTTCTTGCAGTACGATCAAATCGTAGTTAGAAATGACCTGGAAAACAGCCGTAGTCGCAGTTGTGTTCCAGGAAATTCCTAATATATATAAAGGAATGAGTCTGATCGTTCGAATAGTGACACACTTTCGAAAATGAGGAACAATTAATTTGGCTCCTTATTGTTACAGTGCTCGACTCGGCATGAGTTGAAGTTTTGAGTGGCGGTGAGCCAGCAATCATTTGCACCGTGGTGCAGCAATTTATGATCAACACTCAAGAATTTTTCATACCATTCAATTTGGAATAATTTTAATGCCATCCTCGCAGAAATTAAGCGAGTAACCAAGTTTCGGGGCTGCTGGAAAACATTTTGGCAGGACCCTGATCTGAACAAAGTATTGACGATCGTGGCCATGGCTAATTTCTTCAAGGAATCTCAATGCTTGAGGTGTCCACTGGCGCGAAAGTTTACTTATTAAGACTACGTATGTAGATGCGTGTTTCCGGGAGCACTTTTGGATAAATCTAAAGCAAATACTTCGTTTATTTTACTTCTATCTTGCCCTAACGCGATAAATACAGTATCCATCCATATAATAGTGGAGTGACCGGGATCAGGAAGTTTACTTGTGAACCACGGCATGCTGTCCAGCCATCTGATGGACGGCTGATCTCTGTACGTTGCTTGGCTACCTGAATTCACAATTCTTATATCCGTTCACCTGGTCCGTCACGTTGCAGCTGCTGGCTGCTCACCTGGACAGTGACGTCCATCACGAGCTGGTCCATCACGAGCTGGTCCATCACGTTACAGCTGCTGGCTGCCCACCTGGACAATGATGTCCATCACGAGCTGGTCCGTCACGTTGCAGCTGCTGGCTGCTCACCTGGACAATGACGTCCATCACGAGCTGGTCCGACACGTTGCAGCTGCTGGCTGCTTACCTGGACAATGACGTCCATCAAGAGCTGGTCCATCACGAGCTGGTCCATCACGTTGCAGCTACTGGCTGCTCACCTGGACAATGACGTCCCATCAGGAGCTGGTCCATCACGTTGCAGCTGCTGGCTGCTCACCTGGACAATGACGTCCATCACGAGCTGGTCCGACACGTTGCAGCTGCTGGCTGCTCACCTGGACAATGACGTCCATCACGAGCTGGTCCATCACGAGCTGGTCCATCACGTTGCAGCTACTGGCTGCTCACCTGGACAATGACGTCCCATCAGGAGCTGGTCCGTGACGTTGCAGCTGCTGGCTGCTCACCTGGACAATGACGTCCATCACAAGTTCGTTCTTCATCTTGGCGACGCCGTAGCGCTGTAGGTTCCAGCAGCCGATGCGTACAGGCTCGTCGAGGCAGTGTTGCCAGCGGAGGGCAGAACAGAAGTCCACCATTAAGGGGTACACGCCACCTGTTTCCTTGAATGCCTTTGCCCTCTGACCAGGTACCTTTTGATGAAAGATAATGACTCTCACAGATTTAAAAACCTTAGTTTTTAAGGTAAGGTAATTTTATGTTCTTCAATTTATATTATATTTTGACACAGTATTATCCTGGAATTGGTAGCAAAAGACTACAGTTTCAAATTATTCTCAACTTGAAATTACTTACAATTGGCTTCTAATAAAACTCTATCTGTTACATTATTTTCATGCGTTTTACTTAAAGATCAAGGCGAACGTGCACCATATAAATGATTTATCAGCTAGATCGATTTTCCGTGCTCATACAAAGTTAACTCAAAACTCCTTATCTGTTAGCTGAGTACACCAGTCGCTATTACCTCTTTTTCCGCTGACATGGAGACTACGAGAAGTACGAATAATGCCCAAATAAACATTCTAATTTAGAATGATTTTTAGTTTTACAGTCATTTGTTGATTCTAGGATTGAAATGTCCGAGAATGTAACGTATTGACGCATAGAAAAATATAGATGTAGAATAAACACGGCAAATGTCCATATTCATCAATGCCTAGCTTAACTGTGTTAATACCAGGGATAACTATGATCAAGGCAGGGATAACTTTTTGTTATCCCAAGGAAAAGTTATCTCAAGGCAGGGATAACTTCTCCAGGGATAACTGCGAACAATTGGAGGCGAGTCGATTTCTTAAGTCCGTTAAACAGTCATTATCGTATTTTAAGTTAACTATGTCGATGTATGATTAATTGTTGTATCCTCCCACTTTAAATATGCAAACCAAGTTACAAAAGCTTGAGAGTTTTCTTGAAATGCTTATGAGAAAAAGTGTCCGATTAAAAACCATAACTCAGTTACCCCGGGAAGGGAATGACGCGGCATGATTGAAAGACACGAGCAGTTTGGTGCGCGCGCCTGACACGATATATATGCCAGAATTAATAGCATAGTGATGTCGGCGCTGAAGTGTAGGCCTGATGTGGCCTGTCGCCGATTCTTTTCCTTTTCGTGCCTTGTTCACAGATCTAAACTCGTGTCATTTGACCGGATCTTTTCATGACTGGCGATAGTTTGAAATAGCTACTAGACTTCCACCGGGTAAATATTTTGAAAAGCAGAGCAACAGCGACAATACTCAGCAAACTTCCTCGTTGATTCCGCCGCAAGCTCGCATTCAAATTGTGTTATATTGTCTCATCAGATGATTCAAGCCCAGCTTCATTGTTGAGTTTTTTAAATTCCCGTTCATAGTCAAGAATTATACTATCCCAATGCCTTAATTTGATTCAAGTTGAAATGTACTTGTGCCGAAAACATCTTACTTTTAAAATCTATTTTGTCACGTTAAGTTCAACTTTTCTTTACGTATAAAAATAATAATAACAGTTTTGTATGGAACTATTTTTCACGAGAAAAAATCCTCAAATTATCAAGTTTTAATAATTGTAACATTCCATGAGCTACAGCAAAACATGTTTTGAGCGTCCCGACCTTCCTAAAAAAACGACTTGCTGCCGTACATTTGCAGGCCCCCTAACAAACGAAAGATCTCTAGACAGAAAGGCTTACGCAACAGCGAGTTGAGTGGGTCAGACAAACATGAAACAGGATATACAATTTGTCCTGTTAAGAGGACAGCAGGAGCAGCATATGGGATGGTCCTGATGGGTGGAGATTGGTGGAGGGATTGCGAGATGAGATACTCTCGTGATTAAGGTGGAGTAATTAATAGTGTTATAAACTATTAAAATGGTTTGGCCATGTCCAGATAAGATCTCAAATTTATTTAATTATTATAAGCCTGAAATTTCGTCTTGAGCTCATTTTCTATTGTTTTACGAAGAAATTAGTCTCCTTGTAAAAAGTTTGGTGTGATCTCTACTCATTCCGAAAGAGCCAAGCCTGAACATGAATCTGCACTTCGAATATAGAACAAGCAACATAGACGTGCCACACAAGTGTCGTGTGAAATTATTATTGATTCTACAACAACTATCACATGACAATTAAGCGTATCTCTCTAGACTAGACTCTAGAGGATTTTTTTTAAAGAATATGCTCATGCTTTCGATCTTCGTCACGCGTAACAATGTTCATTTCGAGATCATATTAAAATATTTTCTTTAATCTTATATCACGTTGCACTTATCCTACACTTGCTAAATGACGCTTCAAGTGAAGTTCTTCTGAATTGAAAATTTTAAATACTATATGCATCCTGCACAAAAATTGCTCATATAAGAAATGGGACTTTCTAGATAATATTAATTGTCAATTAACTAAAATAGTAACGTGTACTCCTAAAACGAGTCGAACGTTTATTCGATTGGGGAAATTTGATAACTCGATTCGTTCTTTGATTCATGATCATTTATATGAAATTATAATTCCCCTTATTTAGGTACAATTATAATTTCTCCTCGATAAAAAAAATTCCTCCTCAAAATAATTTTCCATTTGCTAAAGTATGCAGTGCGTCGTACGGATTTAAGTGAGAAAATGAGGTTGTCTTGCAGTGATGGTTATATAGGTTCTTAACCTTCACTTGCATCGCACGTCAATAAGCTATATTACCACGTTTTTCTTAGCTCGCTTTCGTGTCTGTGATGATCAAATCTTGCAATCGATATTTCACCAACTTTCCCATTAGCTAGCGCACTGAAACTTTTAGGGAAGCTCAGCTCCCGGTAACAATACAATAATCAATAATTTGTTGCACGTTTCCAGGCGTATAAACTCTAAAGGAACTCACAAGCAGGGGTTGGAACCTTTAATGCACGTCATCCTCGAGAGGATATTCGTGTTTAGACTGCGTATATCGATGATACGCTTCGTATCATCGATACGTACATCAAGTCAAGTAAATTGGACAAGAGAATGAAAGCAAACAGAGATCAGTAGCTGCCGAAAAATTATTTTCTACTTTTGAGTCCACATGAAAAACGTGATCTTTAAAAAATTTTTTTATACGTTTTATTTTTAACAATTTAACAATATCGGTCTTTGATTACGGATGTTTGAATTTTATCTACTAAACACATATTCATTTGTTTCAGTTAATATTTTTTTGTTTGTTGATATGAATGACAACATAACTATTGTGTGAAATCACACAAGAAAACTGGAATTGAGACCAGATGAATGTGATTCCGGAGAACGGTTTAACTTCAATCGAAGTAATTGATTGCTTTATCTTCCCTTGGAAGCTGCCACGAGCTGATGGTGACACTAACAACTGAACGGCACCATAAGCGCTTGTCTGTCGTCCGAGGCCGTCGGCTCACAACTGATCAGCGTTGCAAACTATATCAATTATTTTCAAGCTAAAATTTGACATTTTCAAGCATAAATACCCTAAATATTCTATTATGTAACTGAAAAAATAATGTAATCATATTTTACATATATCTTCCCGCTGAATGCGTTGAAAATACGCTAAATCTAGCGAGAAAATAGCTCAAATGACAACACTGCACCTGATGCTACCTAACCGCTACTCTCTGCGACAGTGTCTTTTTAGCGCATTTTCTCATTTACGGAAAAAATGCACTATTGTGCTCGCCATTTCCGTCCGTCCGTCTGTCTGTCTGTCCGTGACCTCAAGTTTTCGTCGACGAGAAAATGCGCTCTCTGTCACTCACTGCAGTGAGTACTGAGTTATATTTTTAACAACAATGCGTGCAGATGTCAAATTCCATAAGAATCGTACTTAGCGAGTGTAAATGTTTCTCCATTAATAATATTCTCAACTTGAGTCACATTATTAAAAGTTAGACATTTTATTGTCCAATTTATTAACTGTAAATAATAGATTGTTGAGACTGCATTCGAATCCCGGAAAGGGAAGGCATAATCGTTAAACTTTTGAATTCGTTTATGAAAAATGATTACTTCTTATAGCTATAATAACTAAATAAGCCTTCTGAATACTATGATATAAGATTGCGTCAATAATTCTTAGATGGAACAACGAAACATTATTTAAATTAAAACCTACTGTTTAAGTACAAATAGCTTTCGTCTTTGTTCGTGTCGGGTTAGATTTATCATTGGCTTATTGTGAGGAGTCCATCCACAATTGAGAAATTATGTGATTTCCGCACCTCCGGATATTCAGAAAAATATTTCCACATTTCTGTAAAAGACTTTTTCTTCAATTCCGCCACTTTGCTCAGTGCTGGGTCTCCTGAATAAAATTGTCGACCCTTTTATATCCCACACTGAGCAGGTGAGCTTATAAGCGTGGGGGCAATATATGTGTCTTTGTGTATCTTAGAATAAAACTATGGATGTTCGCATTTATGCTTTGGTAATAGAACGAAATTAAGACATACCCTATCAATATAATTGCATCGATATTAATTTAGGCTTATATCTTGAGCAGGTCAGATCTTTAGGACTGAACCATGTCCCACGAGTTCACTTACCTATTTATAGTCACGTTGTACCATTATCCATTATATTCCCTCGTATCCTGTCTACTTTAAGCCCGTAACGTTAACCGTAATTTATAAATGCAACCTGCCTACTTGAATTTGATTTGCATACCCCCTAAATATAATTCCGAACCGACGTTCCCTGACACTTATATCATGAACTAATACTAAATTGGATCTAAATAAGGCAGCCCTGTGTGGCCAACGCGACGTCCCATCAGTGAAACAGAGTGCATTTATATACTAGTTCGCTCAGCTGCTGTGGCTGCGGCCATGCAGGGCGGCGGGCTACAACTAAATCCTTTTAAGTTGTTGTGGTTCCCAGGTCTCCCTTTTACAAGAGACCTTCGTTTTACAGTTTAAGAGCTACGTAGATGCGTCTCCACAGAGCTCAAAAAGCCACTAAATGGACGTAGAAAAAAAGGAAATATATCGCAATAGTCAACATTTCCACAGCTAGCACGCTGCAGTCGATAAATGATATTCTGAAGGAATTTCAAAAGATCATTCACTTCACTAATTATTCAACTAAAGTGTCTGATAACTCTGATTGCATCAGTGCGGCATGTGTTGCTTGAAACATTCAGTAATATGAGGAGCAGCGTGGATTGAACGTGTTATGCAGTTGTGCTCGATCTCTTAACATGACGGATTCCTAAGACATTTTCTGTTAAATCTCAGCATCATACGGCGTGCAGAATAGCGCCAGTGCTGCAATACCTCAACATCATACGGCGTGCTGTAGAGCACGACATGGTTCCTATCAATACTGCGAGGAAAAAATCGCCAACCCCGAGGTCGGCGCGGGAGCTGTTCACCATCCCCACCATGCCCGTCCACTCTGCCCCCTGCTGCCATCTCCAGAACTCTCCTGAACGGGGAAACAGCAGCCAGTTTGTTTAGAAACGCCGAGAAGGGGAACGCTTTACTTTGTTGAGGAACGCTAAGTAAAACCAAAAAGACGTCTGTGTTACAAATGTACACAAACTTCATAACGTCTGTGAGGAAGAATTGGTACCTTAAAGTTCCC